CCCAGGAAGAAAGCTAATGAATATACATTGTGATAACTTACAGATGTTATCTGTTAATCTAGGAATGCATTGGTCTTTCTGGTGGTCCACAATGACTACATACTATATGATTTTACTATTAATCCCCTATAAAGAAAGAGACCCTGTCCTGGGAGGGATGGATTTATTCCCAGCCAGCCACCACAGGGAGCATCTGCCTTGCCCGTGTATGTAACTTTCTCCTATTAAAGCTCTCACTAATTTGAATAGGGCTATACATGTCAGTTCTTCAGAATTGGTCCTGAATTTAGACTTTTGGGGATTCCCCCAACATGGGTCAATCTTTCTGCTTTATACAAGGTTATTCACTGATAATCACCTACTGACTGTTTCCAAAAAGAAAAAAAATGTGTTCTTTTCCTTTGTGAGAGTATACAGGGTCCACCACAAATAACGCCCTTTTCTTTATTACAAAGTTTTTTATTATAAAATCATAAGCATGGAATTCTGTAACAACAAAATCACACTCAAGCATACCATATGCCATTTTAGGTAAAATGTTCAAATTAAAACTATAAATTATTATGCCCATATTATTACCCTACCAACCACACTCAAGCAGGAGGGATCCTGTATGAATACAAGTACAAATTCACCCAGTAGTGACAGAATACCACAGGCAAGGTTTGGCAACTAAATTGATTAAATGCAAAGATTACCTTTATAAATCAGTATCAAGAACAAAGAAATTATTTGGAAGTATATACTGTAAAGTATCTGTTACAGAATAGTATTTTTACTAAAGTGCACATGGATGCTTCAGTTGCTGAAACTGCCCCACAAAATGTCTACTTCTTAGAAAGAAGTCCCCTGAAAGTTTCATGGCTCAATGAAAATGTAATTCTTTAGATTCAAAGTATCCAAATGCTTATTCAACTATGATTTAATGACAGCAAATCCCACATATAATAATGAGAACTGACTAAAGTAAATTGATTGGTTTTCCCTTTTCTGATATTGATATCATTCTTAGGTCACTAATTACCTTGGTGGGAATTAACAGATCTCTCACAAAGTTTGCAAAATGCAGACACTGGTTCTGCTGACATACATAATTATTTTGCAAGAAAATACTTCTGTTATTTTACCCAAGAAGTAAGCTATTTACTCTAAAAAAAGACAACAGGGATAATTCTCAAGAGGCCATCTTTGAGTCTTTTAGAATCACTTAATAAGCTATATCCCTCAGCACAGAAACTACTCCCTAAAACCAAGTTAAGCACTTTGAAAGCTGTGTTAATTCTTCTTTAGACCATTTGGATAATTAATACTTCAGAGGTTTAGTAAATTATTACTCCAGTATACTAAACAATAGATCATATTGGACAGATTGGACCTGATTATGACTTTCTAAAACAGGGGTGTCAAATTCATTTTCACCAGGGGCCACATCAGCCTCGCAGTTGCCTTCAAAGGCAAAATATAAATATATACTTTTTATCTCACAACTTAGAGATAACAATTAACATCTTTCTTTCTATTAATAGATAGGTGATTTTTTTCAACCAACACCAAGACTAATCCCCTGGGTTCTCTTTTTCCCTTGTTATTAATCATAAGCTTTCCCTTTTAAAAGTTCTTCAAAAGCACTTAAGTGACTACACAGCTGTCTACACACAGTTTTACCACAGTGTCTTACTTATTCCAAATTTGCTGGATGTTTAGATTACTTCCAACTTGTCCCCATTTATAACTAGTGCCGTGAATGTTATATGCACAGACTGAATGCTCATGCTTATTTCATTAAGAGAAATTCCAAAATGTGGAATTCCCAAGTTGAAGTAAATGTTAATTTACCACTCCTAGTAAATACTATCAATCTCACCTCCAAAACTGCAGAGCTGACCTGTACTCCCAGCATCAATGCACTGACAACCAGTCCTCCCCAGCCCACCAGCAAGGGACAGTGATATTTATTAAAGTGTTGTTACTTGGTAGGTTAAAAACTGTTCATTACTTTTAAATTTGAATATCTTTGTTTACTAGGTGAGACTAAATATATTTACTATATTATTTTTAGTCACTTTTATTTCCTCTTCCATGAATTACCTGCTCACACCCTTTGCATGTTTTTGCACTGAGATCTTTGGCTATCTGATTATATTTTTCTTATTCCTTTATATATTACAGACCTTCTGTAAGCTGCAGTTGTAGCAAATATGTGCTAGTTTGTTTGGTATTTCCTTTTTAATTTTGTTTACTACAATTACAATGTTCTTTTTATTTTTTATCAGTTATTTTTATTTTGGAGACTTCAAATATAGAGCTCTGGAATTACCTAGTGATTGACAATACCAATTCTACAAATTTAAACAAACATAATTATTACCAAATAATATTTACTGAGATAAACTTTCTCTCTTAAGGGTATCTATGACAGTTGTTAATTATTTTTAATTACCAGGTAAGCTCAGAGAGTTTACAAAAGAAACATTAAGAATTAATCTCAGGGCATGACTATATCACGAAAAACCTACTTCAGGCAGGCCCTAAGGAAACAGAAGCTATATTAGACACCATTAATAGTTTAATTATTAGCAGTTACTTTCCCCATACCATTTGTCAGCAAGATTCCAGTTTTTTCTACCTTTGTCTTAATAGCTACAAAGAAAGGATAATGTTAAAGTAGAAAGTATACATGAAAATAAAAAGTTCATAGGCTTTTAGGACTTGCTAAATTCAGGTTCAAATCCTGGATCCACCAAACTAGTAAACATTACCCTAAATAAATAAAATGGCTTCTCAAGGCTTCATCATCTGTAACAAAGGAGTTAATGTTAGTGATGCAGACTGATCATTCAATAAATTATTTTGTAATGATTTCCAAAAAAATACCTTGCTTCTTATCAAACCCTACCAAGAATTGAGTGTTTTTCAGTATAATTTTCTGTTCACATACAGATATATGTGTACATAGTTTTTATTTTTCTTTTGTAATTATTTTGAAGACATAAGATAAATGACTAAATCCCCTTTGTTTTACAAGTAGCCTATATTAAAGATTAAACTACCTCCAGAAACTAGAGAAAAAAGATATCCATTTTAATGCTAGCACAACTAGGACAATAGGCAATTTAGGGAATAGTTCCCCTTCAGTCACTAAAAGTGGTAAAAATGTTACCTCAAAAGACCCTCTGATAATTCAATTTGCATTTCAACTAACAGTTTGTAACATCTCTATACACAAACCAAACCTCATCCTCTAAACACTGAGCTATATATGTTCCACGGCTAGGAAAACAGCAACAACAATATCAGATTTGGAGAAGAAGAAAGCACAGGGCGAAACTTTTGAGAATGACCCATAACTATAAAACACGTGTGAAAATAGAAGAACAACAGCAAAAAGTTACTTTCCATTAAAACTATTTAAGACAAACCTGTAGTTGGCTGTAATGAAACTATAAAAACTAAATTACTAAAAAAATTTAGTTTTAGAGACTGAAATTTTTTTAATCCTCACCCAAAGATGTGTTTGTTGATTTTAGAGAGGAAGGAAGGGAGAAAGAGACACACACGGAGGTGAGAGGCAACATCAATCAGTTGCTTCCAGTACCCACCCCAACCAAGAATCAAACTCACAACCTTTTGGTGTATGTGACAATGCTCCAACAAACTGAGCCACCAGCCAGAGCTAAACATTCTTAAATGGTTGGCCTAAATCTGCTTTTCCTTTTGTAGAATCAATGCTTCAACCATGGAATAAGAGAATCTCAAACAATTTACGTTACTATGAATATATAGCTGCAGGGAAGAAGCAACAACATAATAAATCACAACCTCTCTCTGAGGAGAAAATAAATGTTTTAAAAACACCTGCTGTTAGGGCCAGGTACAGTCCAAATTTATTTCTGGAATTCCAGAGTTGCATAACTGAAGTATATTTCAATGGAGATGAACATCAAGTTACATAATTATCAAATTACCATATTCTATTTTGCTTTTTTAGCAAAGAACATGATCAGACTGGGGTGACAGCAAGAAAAAAAAGAAATTTTAAAGCAGCATATTTTTCTTATAGTAGATTTTTATTTAAAAAATCACTTAGGTAGAAGGCTACAAATTTTCAACATTGTGTCCCAAGGCTAAGCAATATAAAATGATCTTTAAAAACCTAAATTCTTTGTTCTCATTTTATTCAAGGTATTTGTAGCTTTATCCATTATTAAAAAAGAAACCTTACTCAACAAACACTTAAGATACTTTAAAAGATTATTAAAGAAAAATTATCAAATTTCTGTACTTTCTTTCCATGGAGAACAGCATAAATGTTGGATATTCAGCTACCTTTTACAAAAAGTTTAGTAACAGTTGTCTGCTTGTATAGCAATAATCACAAAATATATGGCACAAATATTCCAGGGAAATAGCATCTGCATTTTTTATTTAAATTTAAAGCATCAGAGAATTAGTTGAATATTCAAAAGGTATATTAATAACCATAATAAGGGACATTCGTCATAGAGCAAATGTAAAATCTCTAAAACATGACTTCAATAAAAGAGCACAAATGATATCACTAGAACAGTAAACAATCTGGGAAAAGCTTAAGTGAAGAATTATAAAGAAAATAAACAGAATTCAAAGGGAAAGTTTACAAATCAAAAGTTGTTTTACTTAAAGCTCTTATGAGCTTCAAGCTTTTTCTTGATGTATATATAGGGGTGGGGCAAAAGCAGGTTTACAATTGTTCATGTGGAAAATAATACAATAGTTAATAAACAGTAATACAAGAATAAACCTGTTTTGCATACTCACAACTCTAAACCTTCTTTTGCCCCATGCAGAATTTGAAAGTCTTAGATGACACTGATAAAGTCTACAGAAGAGTATGTAGCACACTGTTGATAAATAATATTATAGACTTAAATTAATACAACTAAGACAGCTAAAGCTATCTAATAAAAGCTTCATTAAAAGTTGTTCATTGTGACTAAACTATAAAGGGTGGTGGTCATTACCGTGACTCAAAGGTGCTGCACCATCCCTGGGCTTTTCTTCCTCTGGGCTTTGCTCCTAGAACACAGAAAATCTGGTTTAGACTGTATTTTTGGTTGATTGTTTGAAACACCGAAAACTAACTTCCCTGTCTGCAGGAAACCAAGCCATGGAAAGCACCGTAATGAAGGGGACAACAGATCAGCAGCCAGTGCCCTGGAGGTGGGTGCTCTGGCCCCAGGAGGGGCACACCATGACCCATTCAGACACGGGAAGGACCCTTTACTACTGTTGTGGGAGAAACATAATTTTCCTCCTGCCCCTCCAAGTTCTTCTGGCCAGACTAATAATCAAAATGATATGAAACAGACTGAGAGGAGAAAATTACCTACCTTATTGTGTATGTGCTTATAAGGGTTCCATAAAATATGAGACCCAAGGACAGATAGGGAAGTTAAGGCTTATATAACATCTTTGGCTAAGGAGAAAAGGGCAGAGGGGTAGTAGTTTGGGACTTCAAAGGCCAGGAGGGCAATTCAAATGCAGACAGAACAGTAATGTTCGGTAAATGTTTTCTGGCCCATCTCTAACAACAAACATAGAGAGGACTTTGTTCAAAGGGGCCTTGCTAGATTCCTCCCTGTCTATCACACCAGTTCACATTAAATCATAGTTACCCATGATAAAACTCCCTTCCCAGAGCAGGTCCTAAATTTAGTGGGCAGTTAGTGGGAGAGCCCAAAGCCTTTTCCTGAGTCTTTTGTTTCTTGAAAATAACCAGGCATGTTTTGGGGTGGAAAACTCCATTACCCATTGCTGTCTTAATTCTTTGCTGGCTAAAATACAAGAGAAGGTCAAGTTCACTGGCATTTAATATTGACAAGAGCACTTTCCTAACAGGATCCCTGGGTCTGACAGTCATGCTAGACACGGGCTAATAGAAGAGGCACGTCCCACAATGTCCCACAACAGAGCTAAGTCCTCCTTCCAACCTTTGCTTTCACCATACCAGGAACTGCCACATTTACAAGGCTCAGTTAAGATAACATTATCTAATTTTAGCCAAACTGACCCTCACAGAATGGACAAATGACTTCAAAGATTCCTGGGAAGAAACTATACAGACCAAACATGAAGGACAGTACAAGAAACCAACAAGGAGATGGCAGAGCTTCCCTCCATGGAGCAAGCAGTTCATGAGGCACACTCCCACAGCAATCTTTAGCAAAGACCAGGGGAATCACTTCTATTCTGAAAGATACTCACAATAGCAAAGAGCATTTGTTAATGTATATCTAGACAGATGTTTTATTTACATAATTTTGTGGCCATAATTTTGTATGCCCCTTACAAAAATTCACTTACAGAAACCCTCAAAAATTTGGAAGCAATTTCGCATTTTAAAAATTGTCCCAATGAAGGGTTTCCTCAGCTTTGAACTCACTTTTGGAAATACAAATATGTAGGACTTCCGGCTAAAATGGAGGCATAGGTAGACACACTGTGCCTCCTTGCACAACCAAAAGAAGGACAACAACAAATTTAAAAACAAAAAACAACCAGAACTGACAGAAAATTGAACTGTATGGAAGTTCGACAACCAAGGAGTTAAAGAAGATACATTCATCCAGACCAGTAGGCAGGGTGGAGACAGGCAGCTGGGCGAAGAGGACTTGTGGCAAGGCTGTGGCTGGCAATCAAGGCAGCGGCTGGCGGACCTGGAAAGGCTGCAAATTGTGGAAAGAGTGGTCCCATATTTGCATGCAGATAAACCAGGAGACACAACTGGGGAGCAAAACAGACCACATAACCCAGGGATCCAGTGCAGGGAAATAAAGCCTCAAACCTGTGATTGAAAACACCTGTGGAGGTTAAGGCTGCAGCAAGAGAAACTCCCAGCCTCAAAGGAGAGTTCATTGGAGAGACCAACAGGGTTCTAGAATGTACACAAGTCCACCCACCCAGGAATCAACACCAGAAGGGCCCAATTTGCTTGTGGGTAGTGGGGGAAGTGACTGAAAGCCAGCTTATAACTGAACAAGCCATACTGTTCCCTCTTGGACCCCTTCCCCACATACAGCATCAAAACACAATAATGTGGGTAGCCCCTCCATGGTGAAAACCTAAGGTTCAGCTCCTTAATAAATAACAGGTGCACCAAGACAAAAACAATGGCCCACATGAAAGAACAGCTCAAAGCTCCAGAAAAAATACAACTAAGTGATGAAGAGACAGTCAATCTATCAGATGCAGAGTTCAACACACTGGTAATCACTGGCTGGCGTAGCTCAGTGGATTGAGCTTGGGCTGCAACCCAAAGCATCACAGGTTCGATTCCCAGTCAGGGCACATGCCTGGGTTGCAGGCCACGGCCCACAGCAACCGCACATTGATGTTTCTCTCTCTTTCTCCCTCCCTTTTCTCTCTAAAAATAAATAAATAAAATCTTTAAAAAAAACACTGGTAGTCAGGATGCTCACAGAATTGGTTGAGTATAGTCACAAAATAGAGGAACAAGTAAAGGTTATGAAAAATGAAATAAAGGAAAATGTACAGTGAACCAACAGTGACAGGAAGGAAATGGAGACTCAAATCAATGGTTTGGAGCAAAAGAAAGAAAGAAACATTTGACCAGAACAAAATGAAAAAAAAACAATTAAAAAAAATGAAGAGAGATTAGGAACCTCCAGGAAAACTTTAAATGTCCCAACATCCAAATCATAGGGGTGCCAGAAGGAAAACAGGAAGACCAAGAAATTAAAAACTTATTTGAAAAAATAATGAAGGAGAACTTTTCCAATCTAGCAAAGGAAATAGACTTCCAGGAAGTCCAGGAAGCTCAAAGAGTCCCAAAGAAGTTGGATCCAAGGAAGCACACACCAAGGCACATCATAATTACATTACCCAAGATTAAAGATAAGAAGAGAATCTTAAAAGCAGCAGGAGAAAAGGAGATAGTCTCATGCGAACTCTTTTGTAGGCAACTATCAGCTGATTTCTCAAAAGAAATCTTACAGGCAAGAAGGGGCTAGAAAGAAGTATTCAAAGTCATGAAAGGCAAGGACCTACATTCAAGATGACTCTATCCAGCAAAGCTATCATTTAGAATGGAAGGGCAGATAAAGTGCTTCCCAGATAAGGTCAAGTTAAAGGAGTTCATCATCACCAAGCCCTTATTATAAGTTAAAGGGACTTATCTAAAAAAAAGAAGATAAAAAATATTAACAGTAAAATGACAACAAACTCACAACTATCAACAACTGAACCTGAAACAAAAACAAAAACAAAAAATGAAATAAGCAAATAACTAGAACAGGAATAGAATCACAGAAATAGAGATCACATGGAGGTTTATCAGTGGGGAAGGGGAGGTGGGGAAAGGGGGAAAGGTACAGAGAATAAGTAGCATAAATGGTAGGTAGAAAATAGACAGGGGGAGGTGAGGAATAGTAGAGGAAATGTAAAAGCCAAAGAACTTATATGTACTACCCATGAACATGAACTAAGGAAGGGAGGGGGAATGTGGGTGGGAGGGGGTGTGCAGGATGGAGGAGAATAAAGGGACAACTGTAATAGCATAATCAATAAAATATATTTAAAGGAAAGAAAGGAAATATAAATATGTAATACTTTTGATTAGTTCCCAGGAAAAGTGACTGTCATCAGAGAAGGTGAAAATTCAGCAACTACAATATACAAAATACACAAAAGCCTTCACATTACTGATGGATGACACTTTTCAGTGATTTAATAATTGTGTCCAACAACCATCTCCTCAGTATATTCCTCTGTATCTTTGTGACAGGCCTTTTTAAGCTATGACTAGGGTGACTGACTATCATTTTTTCAGGAATGACCTGATCACAGCACAGCAGTCCCATACCTGAGAGACCCCTCAATTCTAGAAAAGCCAGGATCCTAGCTATGACATTAGTTAAAACCAAATCTAAAAACATTGACTTCAGATAATGGTAACAAAATGTTTTGAATCAGGCTTCCAAAAAAGAATCATGCATATTAATATTTTGGTGAGGGAAAACTCATCTTTAAGTAATAAAAAAATAATATTAATTTCATTTTTATATTATACTATTTTTAGTTTCTTTTTTAGGCCATGGCTTTAATATACTAAGTAAAACATGTAATTCTTAAATAGACAAATAAACCACATGTATCAAGATAAAATAACAAAGTTTCCTTATTGGTGGGTAAAGCAAACCAACAAGTTTGAAAATGACTGTCTCAGGCTGCTATTTGCCTACAAAGCCACATCTGAGTGTGACAGATTCACTGAGATGCCTTAGCTTGCTATCTTTCTGTATATGTAATTTTAGTTTTTGAGTTCATTTGGTTCAAAGTAAAAATGTACTCCTGTACACAGAAACAAATAAAACAGTGAAAACTTTCCTACCTGTCCTCCCCCATCTGGCCAACACATAATCACTGTTATTAGATTCTAATATATTCTTGCAAAATTTTCTTTATACATATACAAGGAAACATAAATATAGATTTTATTTTCCTGCTCTTGTGCACAAAAGGTATCACATCATAATACTGTTTTCTACTTCTCTTTCAGTTAACAAATACCTCAGAGATCATTATCATGTTATGAAGAGCATTGTTCTTCCATAGCTACACAGCATTATCCTGACTGGATATTACATGATTTGTTTAGCTGGCTTCATATTCATGAATGTTTAGGTTGTTTCCTATCTTTTTTCCAATCATATAAAGCTGCAGTGAAAAATCAGCACATATGTCCTTGGCATATGTGCAAGGATATCTATGGAATGACTTCTCAGAAGTAGAGGCTTGCATTTTCCTGCTGAGAAGCACCACCAAGTTGGGCTCCACAGGAGCTGCTCCACCAAACCTCGTAGAGCCCTGCGCTTAGGGCTCTGCCCTAAGCCTCAGATCAAGACCTGTTTTCCCACTGCCAGGAGGAAAGAGTGTGTTATCAAATTTTTAGAATTTTGCCAAGATGGCAAGTGAAATATGATATCTCACTCTAGTTTTAATTTATACTTGTTTCACTATGAGGAAGTTGAAGATTACTTTGTGTACTTAAAAGCCAT